CCCACACGGGGGGATCATGATGATGATACAGGTGATTATGATGATGACGACGAAAACGACGATTATGATGATGATGACAACAATGAAAATGATGCCAATGATGATGAGGATAATGATGATGATTAAGACAACGACAATGATGATTATGACAACGACAAGGATAATGATGATAACGACGACAATGATAATGATGATGACGACAATGATGAAGATGATGATGATGATGATGAGAATGAATAAGATGATGATTAGGACGATGACGACAGTGAAGATGATTATGACAACGACAATTATGAGGATAATGATGACGATGATTTTAATACTGATAACAGTGGTGATAACGCTGTTTAGGATTAATATCGTTGTTATCTACGTGATCGTCGGCTCTGTGGCTAAGTCGATACGAACGCTTCGCTTCCTAATGCCAGGATGACAGGTTCGATCCCAGCTGCGGGCAACGCGCCTTGCGTTGGTTTCGACAGTGGTATCAAGAAAGCCGACCACCCAGAAAGCAATGGCAAACTACTGGATGTAACTTGCCTAGAGAAACCACACAACAGCCAGGGGCTGTTAGTGTTGGTTCTGCAACGTCCTGTAAAGGATACGCAACTTTATCTACCTGAGCAGGAATCTATCAGATTATATATTTCCAACATGGAACGAGGAAGGAGGGGCAGGGGGCGACCAACAGGAAGATGAACACAGGAGGTAAGTGACCCCTTGAGTATGAAAGTACGCGAGGCGGGAGATCTGGCGAGAGAACGAGTTTCTTCCAGGCAGACCGTGATGAGAGCGACGTTCTGCAAAGGACCTGCGACATGTTGATGATTCAATGACTTGGATACAGACACTTTTTCACACCTTCAGGTGTAATTGACAAATAGGGCCAGGCCTATATTTTATAGACCCATCGGCAGTCGGCGCTTGATGTGGATGACACCATGCCGGCCGCCTTTTCTTCCCAGTGCTGACCGGCTACTCATTTCAGGCATAATCGACCTGGGAGCTAAAGTCTTTTTTTTTTAAACAATGTCATAATCTGTCGAGATTTGAACCCACGACTTTTTGATCCGCAGGCACGCGTTTAGCCACTACACTATGGCGGATCCCACTGACACCTACAACATAATATGATAATGACATACGCACTGTAACACATAATCTACAATCTACATTATTACAGGATTTTGTCGAAATGTAAAATAACATGTCTTCATTAACGTGTCAGTCAGTGTTATGGCACTAATGTTTAACTCTTGCCAGCTGATCTAATTGTCTATCTATCTATCTATCTATCTATCTATCTATCTATCTATCTATCTATCTATCTATCTATCTATCTATCTATCTATCTATCTATCTATCTATCTATCTATCTATCTATCTATCTATCTATCTATCTATCTATCTATCTATCTATCTATCTATCTATCTATCTATCTATCTATCTATCTATCTATCTATCTATCTATCTATCTAATCTATCTATCTATCTATCTATCTATCTATCTATCTATCTATCTATCTATCTATCTATCTATATCTATCTATCTATCTATCTATCTATCTATCTATCTATCTGTCTATCTGTCTATCTGTCTGTCTGTCTGTCTGTCTGTCTGTCTGTCTGTCCGTCTGTCTCCGTCCGTCCGTCCGTCCGTCCGTCCTCGTCTGTCCGTCCGTCCGTCCGTCTGTCCCGTCCGTCCGTCCGTCCGTCCGTCCGTCTGTCTGTCTGTCTGTCTGTCTGTCTGTCTGTCTGTCTGTCTGTCTGTCTGTCTGTCTGTCTGTCTGTCTGTCTGTCTGTCTGTCTGTCTGTCTGTCTGTCTGTCTGTCTGTCTGTCTGTCTGTCTGTCTGTAAATCCTTCTCTATGCCCGTCCTTTCTTCTTTTCGTTTTTCGTGTTGACCGGCTGTATATTCTGGCGGAAAGTTTTGGTTGTTTGTCTAGTTTAGTTTTGCTTTCAGAACTTGAATTTTGCATTCACATCCATTTTAGGTCTGGCTTATTCGTATGCCCCTAACTGTTTTTTTTTTTCTTCTCCGACAGATGCAGTGCGACCTTGAAGGAGACACCCCTATTAACCCCTGTATATAGTGAACTTTTGAGGGAATCCTTTTTTTTTTTCTTAAAAAAAAAAGATACGGGGCAGTGGGTCTATACCACGAAATATGCCTGGCCATTAAGGTTTATAGCATGGTGATTAACCCCACTTCTGTTCAACTTGGCCCTGGAGAAACTTATGAAGAAATTAAAACAAGAGGGTACTATATAAGAGAAATCTACAAGAATACTTGGTTATGCAGATTACATTGATATTGTTGGAGAAAATGAACTAGAGACTGTAAAAACATTGACTTTCTTAAAAAAGCAGCTCTCAAAATAGGACTAGTTGCCAATCAAGATAAGACAGAATACATGATAAAAACAAGACAGGGAAATGATATAAACACTGGTGACAAACAATTCGATTATTTGAAAATCAAACGAACAGAGACACATTAGTACTTGGGTGCAAACTTCAACTGCTCCAACATGATGAGAGAAGAAAAAGAATCTAGAATATAATTTGGAAATAAAGTATACTATGCCCTTCAACATCTGCTAAAGTCAAAGTCTCTATTTCGCAACACAAAGATTAAAATATATAAAACGTTGATATTCAAGTCGTTTTATATGGCACACATAAAAGGGATGAAGGATTATTACAGGTCTTCAAAAACCGAGTATTACGACAAATCTTTGGACCTATCAAAGATGCAAACAGCGGGGAATGGAGAGTGAGAAGCAGCAACGAAATTCATAATCTGTTTAAATCACCAATGATAACTGGCATCATGATAGCTAATAGGTTGAAATGGTTGGGGCATACTGAGAGAATGTCAGATGACAGAAAAGTGCAAACTGTATACACAAGGGAGATGAATGGTCGTAGACCACGAGGCAGACCCAGAAGACGATGGAGAGATAATATCTAGACAGACCTGCAAACACTTGGTGTCACCAACTGGAAAGAGAAGGCCAACCAGAGAGATTAATGGAGGCGGGTGATATCTGCAGCAATGAATTTCAAAGGTTCGGAATGCTGAGGAAGAACAAGATATTATGGATATTTCGAAAGGAAATTGCCTTTGCTGAACACTTTAAAACAAATATATATATTTAAATAAAAATTGTGTGCCGTCCAGCAATGGAGGTTGGCTACGGTAAATATTTACATCCAATGCTGTATTTAAGAGTGCAATTTGTTAAGGCATCTGCTGTTTTATTAGAAATGATGCCTTGTAACATATTTTTGAAAACAGTCTTACAACGAATCTTTGGATCCATTAAAGATGCAATCAGGGGAAAATAAAGAATGAGAATTAATAACGAAAGTCATAATCTGTTTAAATCACCACTGATCACTGGCATAATAAGAGCTAATAGACTTAAATGGTTGGCGCATACTCTGAGAATGTCCCATGACAGAGGTAACAAATAAAAAACCTATATACACATGAGCGCTGAATGTTCGTAGAAACAAAAAAATATGAGATAATAACCAGACATACATTGTAACAACTGGTGTCACCGAGTGGAAGGAAAAAGCAAACCAGAGCGAAGAATGGAGGCGGATGATATCTGCAGTAATGAACCTCAAGGGCTCGGGATGCTGAAAAAGAAGAAGAAGAAGAAGAAGAAGAAGAAGAAAGGAAAAGAAGAAGAAGAAGAAGAAGAAGAAGAAGAAGAAGAAGATATAAGAAGAAGAAGAAGAAAGAAGAAGAAGAAGAAGAAGAAAAAAGGAAGAAGAAGAATGGAAGAAGAAGAAGAAGAAGAAGAAGAAGAAGAAAAGAAGAAGAAGAAGAAGAAGAAGAAGAAGGAAGAAAGAAGAAGAAGCAGAAGAAGAAGAAGTTTTATTAGAAGAAGAAGCCTTGAAGAAGAAGAAGAAAAAAGAATCTTACAGACGAATCTTTGGATCCAAGAAAGATGCAAAGAAGAAGAAGATGAAGAATGAAGAAGAAGAAACGAGAAAGAACAAGAAGAAGAAGAATCAAGACTGATCACTGAAGAAACATAAGAAGATCAAGAGAGAAGAAGAGACTTAAAGAAGAAGTTGAAGAAGAAGCATACTCTGAGAATGAAGAAGAAGAAGAGGTAAGAAGAACAAGAAGATATAAAGAAGAAGAAGCTGAATGTTCGAAGAGAAAAGAAGAAAAAGATGAGAAGAAGAAGAAGAAGAAGAAGAACAAGAAGTCACCGAAGAGGAAGGAAAAAGAAGAAGAAGAAGAAGAATGGAAAAGAATAATAATAATAATGCAGCAATGAATAATCAAGAAGAAGAAAGACGAAGAAGAAGAAGAGAAGAAGAAGAAGAAGAAGAAGAAGAAGAAGAAGAAGAAGAAGAAAAAGAAGAAGAAGAAGAAGAAGAAGAAGAAGAAGAAGAAGAAGAAGAAGAAGAAGAAGAAGAAGAAGAAGAAGAAGAAGAAGAAGAAGAAGAAGAAGAAGAAGAAGAAGAAGAAGAAGAAGAAGAAGAAGAAGAAGAAGAAGAAGAAGAAGAAGAAGAAGAAGAAGAAGAAGAAGAAGAAGAAGAAGAAGAAGAAGAAGAAGAAGAAGAAGAAGAAGAAGAAGAAGAAGAAGAAAAAGAAGAAGAAAAGAGAAGAAAAGAAAAAGAAGAAGAACCTTAATGCGTCAAAAATTGTAGAACAAACAGCTAAGTCACGGGGCACCAAAAATAACAAGAAAAGAAACAGTGAAAGTAATGGGAAAACAATGACATCCAAAGAGAAAATCTAAAACCAATGCCGGACTAAACTTTATTCATGATTGGGGGAAAGGATCGCACAGAATAGAATAGAGTGGAAGAACAGACAGTGAGCCCTGTGAGACATATAGTGTCCTTCATGACGATGATGATGTTGATTGTGGTGGTGGTGATGCTGATGATGATAATGATGATGATGAGTATGATGAAGATGATAGTGGTGGTGATGATGATGTAAAATCAAACACACAGGAACCTACCTTGAGGAAGCATTTGTTGAGGCTAAGGTTATGTCTGATTGAGTTCTGCCAACCTTGTTTATTATCTCTATAGTAGGGAAAGTTCTTGGTAATAAACTCATAAATTTGACTCAGCGTCATTCTCTTCTCCGGGCTGCTTCTGATCGCCATCATGATGAGGGCATTGTAGCTGAACGGAGGTTTCTCGTTCTTCTTATCTTCCTCGGTTTTTGAATTATTCTCATTCTTAACGCCAATTTCTTTCTTTTCAGGGTCTTTGTCCAGGTCGGGATTCGGTGTTTTATCGCCACTTTCTGAAGCTTTGCTGTAATCCGGATGTTCCGTTTCATCGACTTCGTCATCAATATCAACATCGCTGTTGTTATTCTGATCTTCCTTGTCGAAGAGCGAATCATCTAAAGAACCCGGCGAACTGCAGTAGCTTCGTTGCTCTACGGAATCCGCTGCCTCGTTGCTGTGTTGGTATTCAGTAGAATGCTTTTCCAGGAGGCTTTTGGTAAACTCGGTCAAGTCTTGCTGACAGTCATGTATCTGAACATTGTGTAACTTTGGTGTGTCTGGCTCCGAAACGGGACTTATCGGGGACATTTTAACCCGACCGTTACTCAGATTCTGAGCCGTTAATTTACTGTCACCGAAAGAGGACACACGGCCGTTATTTAATTTAACGCTTGTGCTTTCAGTAACGTGTGACATTAGCAAAGCGGAATGACAATCCACCAAGCGATAGAGTTCGCTGTGATGCGGAAAGGACATCTTGTCTAAGGCACCTTTGTAGTTGTTATTGCTAAATGTTGAAGGGAGATTAAGGGCACTTTGTGACAAAGGGAAATCGTTGGCTATATCGGGAGATGACGGTTGACTTGATCTTATCACTGGAAGGGAACTTTTCAGATTTTTCCCAAAATCATCAGCTAAGACTCTGCTTATACTAAACGGATTTCCGGACTTCGGTTTATCCATGATTTCGATTCGTTTCTCCTGTAACATGTGTCTCACTAACAAAGCGTAACAAACTTCGCAGTATCACACACTGGTAACCATTTATCTTACTTCTACGATAGCACTCTTAAACTTGAACAGTTACAAAGTTATGCCTACGCAGACATCTTTACTTGAATTATATGAATGAAATTTTATGTTCACAGTTAAAGCTCCGGAATTATCAAGTTCCAAATTGGAATCACAGATTCATATGTTTCCCACTTTTAACAGTGCGTATATGCTAACTCACTGATCTGTTTTCCGAAACAAATAACAGGCTGGAATGCCATGAAACTTTTATACTGCAGAAAGAACCGTTCCCAAACTCAAGTGAATCATACGACAGTACGGTCCAAGTGTTCCTATAAGTGGGAGGATCCCTAGATATTTTCTGGGTGGGGCCAAACACTGAGCAGCCAATACCGCTGGCCCGTGCGCGAGGGAGATGATGTTTTTCAGTTCGCCCCGACGAATCCCGTCACGGCTGTGGATGGCATTGTCAATAGAACAAACACTAGATCCCGCTAGATCCAACTCTCTTATTCAAACATTGAGGAATCATCCTTTCGCCGTATGCAGCTGGGACATGTAGGGCTCTAGAGAGATTTGTCATCACAATAGAAGAAAATAAGAATTGTGCTTGAATTTTAAAAATACCATTTAAAAATATTTGGAAACTTAAATGAACGGTTATAAAAGTTTGAAATTATTTATACTCTCACTATTGCTGCTATCCTTGCCGCTACTCCTATTACTACTACTGCTACAGTTGCAGGTCGTGCTGCCTGCAGATCTGAAAGTCGTGGGTTCAGATCCCAAGGGAACGAGACAGCGTTTGTTCTTATTGTTGTTAAAACTAGCCTTTCCTCACTGTGGACAGTATGATAACCAAGAGAAGATGGAAATGGCTTGGCCACGGTATGAGAATAAATCCTGATATACTTGCCAAAACAGCTCTCACATGAACACCAGAGGGAAAGAGAAAACAGGGGCGCCCAAAAACAACATGTAGACGAACGATGGAAAGTGACCTGAGTGTGGCATCTTTGATATGGAAAACTGCACTGAAGATTGCACAGGACAGGAAGGCATGAAAAGTCTTCTCTGAAGCCCCATGCCGCTAGGCATAACGAGAACTGATGATTGCTGAATACACCTCAGGGAAATCCTAGACATACAAATACTATACAGAAAGCTATAGCAAGTGTGTGTGTAATGACATTTTGAATTTGTTTATCCTATGCTGTCGGCTCTGTGGCTAAGTCGATGCGAACGCTCCGTAATGCCGGGATGCCGGGTTCGATCCCAGCTGCGGGCCATGGGCTTTGCCTTGGTTTCGACAGTGGTATCAAAAAAAAGTCGACCGTCCAGAAGCTAATGGCAAACTACTGACATAATTTTGCCTAGAAAAACCACATAACAGCCAGGGGCTGTTGGGGTTGGTTCTGCAACGTCCTGTAAAGGATACGCAACTAACTTTATCCTATGCTAGGTGCCAAAACGAAAAGTTGATGAAGAAGATGATCTTCTTCTTCGATCCTTCTGTCAGAAAACATTATATCAGGAGGCCGGTAGCCTTTTTGAAAGCTATCGTGCAATCCATATCCTCTCGTGTACCATACAGTTTTGTCTTCATTGTGGTTGGAACAGGCCAGATTGCGTCTCTGTTGTCAGCATACAGTTGACAGTGTTGGAGGCACATGCTCAGCATTTTCGGGTGCCACGCTGCAGGGACACGTCTCCGTATTTCCTACACCGAAAAATTTGAACATATGTTGACGAAATCTGTTGTGCCTGTCCTTAGTCTGAATATAATAGACTGTCCCTCTCTAGAGAGGCGATGAAGTGAGTCTTGGGGAGAAAATCTGGTGTGGATATCCAGCCACCTTTCTTGGATACTAGATTGTATTAGTGTTTTCATCTCTTGGTGGGTTAAGTCGCTATTTGGTTGTACCATGTCACTGCCGCTTCTGGCTAATCTGTCCGCTATTTCATTGCCTTCCAAGCCACAGTGACCTGGAATCCACTGCAATACAGATTGTTCTACTGAAGAGCCTAAGTAAATCAGCTGTTGCGTCAAGTCTACAAACTGAGTGTCTTTTGGGTTAACAATTGCTTGTAGAACTGACATAGCATCAGTCAGAAAGACCACTCAGCTATATTTGCTGTGCTGTTGTCCATTCAGGAAAGAACACGCCGCTAGAAGTGCTTCTGCCTCTGCTCTGTAATTGGAGGAATATAAACCTGTTGGTACAGCCTGGTTGATTTTTAAACCATTTGGACATTCTATGTATATTCCTCCTCCTCCGTCTCTTACTGCTCTCTTGGCTGAACCATCTGTATACACTCGAATCCAACTCTGGTGTGGGTAAAGTCTATTGATCTCTCCTTCTGTAGTTGATTTCATATCAGTGCTGCTCATTGATGATTTGGAGGAGACCCCTGTTACAGTGGTTCTAACTGTTGGTAGGCTATCCCTAATCTTCTTCTTCTTCTTCTTCAGCGATCTCTGGTCATGCGCATAATCCACTGTGGGTCATAAACTGAGATGTCTTTTCAAGGTCTCTTAGGTTTCCCCAAAGCTTAGTTGTCAGTTCTACTGGGTGTTGCCATATGTCGCTCCGCAGCTCCGCCAGGAGAGGACAGTCTTGCAGGACATGTTCTGGAGTCTGTTCAGCACGAAGACACTGGCAGAGAGCTGTTTGGCTCATACCTAATTTATATGAGTGTTATCCCTAATCTAAGCGGGGCAGTCGTTGTAAGGTTTAAGTGGAACATTTGGTATTATGGGAGGGAGTTTAAGGACAGCGAGCTTGGCATTTGCGTTCTTAATAAAGCAAGTTCTCTTTAGTCTAGCCTTCTGGGGTTTCTGCAGTCGGCTGTACATGGGTTGTTCTTGAAAGTGGTGGTATTTGGAGAGCTGGATGATGATCTTTGTGTCTCTCCTATCTTCCAGATTATGGAGACCAGTAATTGTTTCCATATCTGATATGGGCGTGGAGCGCATTGCCCCTGTCATAATACGGAGAGCATGGTTTTGGATCTTTGAGACTTTTTGAACATTTGATTTAGCTGCTGTGCCCCAAGCAGCTATTCCATATTCTAGTGTTGGCCTCACATAGCCTGTATAGGTCCTCTTAAGGACATTGAGGTTTGCCCCCCAGTCTGTTCCAGCTAACTTCCTCATCAGTTGTGTTCTCTTGAGTCTCTTGCTCTGTGTCTTTTCTATCTGTTTTCTCCATGTGAGTCTTGAGTCAAAGGCTACTCCTAAATATGACGGTGAGTCATCATGTATCAGTACCTGGCTGCCATATCTAAGTGAAACTTTCTGGGGTTTGGTAGAGAGACTGAAAATGGTGTGTGTGGTTTTGGCCCCATTTACAGGCATGTACCAGCTATTGGACCACCTCTCTAGAGTTCCGAGGGATTCTTGAAGCCTTGTCTGTGCTTTTTCAGTGTCCTCCTCTGAACTCAGTAGCGCCAGATCATCGGCATACATAACGGCTTGAACTCCATTACAGAGGGTTGATTTTATGTCGTTAATGTAAACTAGAAAAAGAATTGGGGACAGAACTCCGCCTTGTGGAACTCCATGTGTCATTGAGACTGATCTGCTCCTTGAACCCTGTATCTTGACTCTTGCAGATCGATTTATGATAATAAATGTTTATTTTTTTTTTTTGCTGGTGGGGGCTGCGTGATCTCCTGGCATGCCGTCCACCTCGAGTGCTGTAGTACCGGGTTCAGGCCCAGTGAAGGCTGTGATTTTTTCACGTGGACTTCTAGTAATTTCCCCTGGTCTCTTGGTCGTGAAATCGGACGCCCGTGTGTATTTTTTCGCACATAAAAAAATCCCTTGGCAGTTGGAAATCGAAAAGAGTAGCCAAACGGCGCTGCCCGGACAACATTTGGAGATACCTAAAGTTCAGGATTCTCGCCGGTGCAAGGGAGTTAGTGCACTGCACAGAGAATCTTCAGACTCAGGCTTGAGTAAGAATTAGAACGGAGCACTTATGTGTGCCGTTTGGCACCCGTGTGCCATGATCAATCAATAAATCAATTAATCGAAACATTTTTAAAGCTACCTGCGTTCCTTACAAGACATTACAGAACCAGCACCAGCAGCGTTTGGCTTTTAGTGTTTACCAGGTAATTTTAGCTTCAGTAGTTTGCCATTGCTTCTTAGCGTCAGCTCACGTTAACACTGTCAAAATCAAATATTCTTCTTCTTTTTCTTCTTCTTCTTTTCTTCTTCTTCTTCTCCTCTTCCTCTTCTTCTTCTTCTTCTTCTCCTCCTCCTTCTTCTTCTTCTTCTTCTTATTCTTCTTCTTCTTCTTCTTCTTCTTCTTCTTCTTCTTCTTCTTCTTCTTCTTCTTCTTCTTCTTCTTCTTCTTCTTCTTATTCTCTTCTTCTTCTTCTTCTTCTTCCTCTTCTCTTCTTCTTCTTCTCTTCCCTTCTTCCTTATTCTTTCTCTTTTCCTTTTTCTTCTTTTTTTCTGATCTTCTTCTTCTTCTTTCTTCGTTCTTCTTATTCTTCTTTCTTCTCTTCTTCTTCTTCTCTTCTTCTTCTTCTTCTTCTCCTCCTCCTTCTTTTTCTTCCTCCTCCTCCTCCTCCTCCTCTTCTTTCTCCTTCTTCTCCTTCTCTTTCTCCTTCTTTCTTCTTCTTTCTTCTTCTCTTCTTCTTCTTCTTCTTCTTCTTCTTATTCTTCTTCTTCTTCTTCTTCTTCTTCTTCTTCTTCTTCTTCTTCTTCTTCTTCTTCTTCTTCTTCTTCTTCTTCTTCTTATTCTTCTTCTTCTTCTTCTTCTTTTCTTCTTATTCTTCTTCTTCTTCTTCTTCTTCTTTCTTCTTCTTCTTCTTATTCTTCTTCTTCTTCTTCTTCTTCTTCTTTCTTATTCTTCTTCTTCTTCTTATTCTTCTTCTTCTTCGTTCTTCTTCTTCTTCTTCTTCTTCTCTTTTCTTCTTCTTCTTCTTCTGCTTCTTCTTCTTCTGACTTGTTGTAGGTATAC